AATTCCGTTGCTGATTTGGGACCATTTATATTTTTTATTAATTAATAAATCAAAAGCTTTTATTCAACTTGTTCGGGTGGAATCTTTGAACTCAATTTGAAGTAGAAATCTTCAACCGATTGAGCTGAAATTTTGTATACACGTTCAGTTTGGATGACAACGCACGATAAGGTGTGTCACGTTATTCTAAATCCAATATGGCGGACTATCCAAGATGGCGGAATAGCTATTTTTAATCTACTTCTACAATATGGGTATCAAATGAGAGGGCTCGTTGACAGTAATTCGAAAAATATTGTGACGTTATTCTAAATCCAATATGGCGGACCATCCAAGATGGCGGAATAGCTATTTTTGATATACTTTTACAATATGGGTATCAAATGAAAGGGCTCGTTGAGAGTAATTCGAAAAATGATGTGACGTTATTCTAAATCCAATATGGCGAACCATCCAAGATGGCGGAATAGCAATTTTTAATCTACTTCTACAATATGGGTATCAAATGAAAGGGCTCGTTGACAGTAATTCGAAAAATAATGTGACATCATTCTAAATCCATTATGGCGGACCATCCAAGATGGCGGAATTGTCATTTTCAATATACTTCTACAATATGGGTATCAAATGAAAAGGCTCGTTGAGAGTAAATCGAAAAATTCAGCTAGCGATAACTAAAAATTGAAAAATAAATTAAAAGTAAAAAAAAACTTTTCAATAAAAAGCTTTTATTCAAACGCTCTAAAAGGAAGAAAATAAAATTTTTCTCAATAATTCCAACTATCAACTTATAACCTCATTATACACAATTTATATGATCATAAAAGCTTGTCGCGATGATCAATATTTGATTAAATTGTAATTTTAAAAATTTTATCTCAGCAGATTTTACATAATTAAATAAGTACTTGTTCATTCACACAAGTGAATCGCGCGACAAAAAAAAATGATGCACTCACGTTAGGAAATGCATTTTGTGTAACTGTGTTTTGCGGGATCTCGCTTACATAAAATGGCGCCTTTCCTAACTGGTTACGTAAATATCTATTCCTCGTCTGACGGCTGAAATTTTATGGAATGGTGAGGTCTAGGCCAATCTTGGCAACGAAACTTTCTCTTCTAGATTCTCCTTTAACTGTAAAGATATATTTTTCAAATGAATTTTATTATTGGGAAATCATTCCCTAGAGTGTATCGAAACTCATTATGGAAAGACGTTCGTTTCTGATAAACTGCAACAGACTTATAAAATATACGGCCTGATAGCTCTAGATAAATTATAAAGTTTTATGAGAAAGTCGTGAGTTTTCATCTAGCCCACGTGTCTCGTTATTCAAATAATAAAGTACATATTTTTACATCTTCCTTGAAATCTAATCATTCTGCATCGTAACATACAGGGTGTTCCATATACCTATGGACAACACTCAGAATGGAATGCTCAAATAAAGAAATCACTATTGGCAAATATGACGTGAGCAAATATTGCTCGATTACCTAACATACAGTACGGGACCAATTAACTGGATATTGGGTGTTTTTTATAGAATTTCAATAAAACAACAAATTTGTAAGTAAATTTTTTCAAGAAAATATACTATAGGTACAAATACTTTAAAACATTTTTGGCATACAGATTATTTGAGGTGTCATAGCTAACAAACAGCTGGTATATTATTCATTAGTGACAGTAACTTGAAAAAATTTCGAAAAAAAATGTTTGACTGGTGTTATTTTGGCCCCTTATGATTTTGTTTAAAAATAACTAACGAAGATGAAATATTTCATGAGATCATAAAGTATCATTACAAAACCAGTCAACAAAAAATCAGATCTGAAGAAATTGTGATTATTCACACGGAAAAAAAGTTTCGTTGCACCAACAAAATACTTTTGGTAATTTTTTTTGTTAAATTAAACAAAATTTTGCGAAATCAACAAAATATTTGTTCATTCCAAATAAGCAATAAGAAATATTTGCTTACTTGAGAAAAAAAGTTCCATTTCATTCAACAACATTTATAGTTGTCATAAAACAAAATTTGTTGACCCAACTATTATGTCATTGTTCAATCAATCATATGTATTTGTGAAGTTTCATACAGGTGAAACCAAGAGACCTCTTTCAGTAAGGACGAAGGAACATAAGTACAATATAAAGAAAAGAAACATCGATAAATCGAAACTAGCTGAACATATCCTTACTGAAGACGGACAACATATAGCAGAGTGGAATAATATTAATATCATTGGAAAAGAAGATAACAACCAGAAGAGAAAAATCAAGGAATCTGCTTGCATTCTTCTGAACGGAGACAATAGCATTGCTTCCTGTTCAGTTGATATAGACAAAACATGGTATTCACTACTAAAATCTGAAAATGGAAATAGTAAATTCAAGATTAATTATTGAAAACATCCTGTAACTCATTTGATTGCCAACGTCACCAATTGTCATTGAAAACTGAAAAGCTTCAAGACATATTATACGACTTCGCTATTGAAATAATCTCTTTTCATGTTGAAAACGGGAGTAGAATCGGTCCCGAAACGTTCAAAGATAAGTGAAAATTTGATATTTTTTCTATATACCTTTATTTCTCTTCTCCAAGAATTTTTTCAATACAAATTGTCACTGACAAGCTAGTGAATTTTTCTTTTAGGTTCTCTGATAGGAAAATTCTTTAAACGCAGTGACATTTTGGGGCGAATCATCTAATTTGTCCTTACTACACGTATATTGAAATAATATTCATATTCTTATTTTATAGAAACGAGGAGAGAAAATCCCAAAAAGTTTAGAATAATGAAAGTAATATTTATGTTCTCATTTCAAATCCAGCAGCAAATAAATCAGTATACCTACTTAGATTCATCATAGACATGAAAATGTAATTTTGCCAAATAGTCTCATCTCTATTTATCATAGTAGTTATTAAAACCTTTCGATTGGAATTTTCTGGCATCACCCGAGGCCTATAGATTAGTGTTTTACGTCCGATCATGGCCATCTACATGCAATATTAAGAGTAACATACAAAAAATAGGAGTAACATAACATACACTTCAGTCGAATTTACGCCGAATATCTATATTATTTTGAACATTCCATGTGAAATGCTTTACATTTATTCATTATTTCAAATCATCACAAATATATTTTTCAGTAATGAAATAATCAAAATAGAATACCTATGAGCTTAACAAACAATGAAAATATTTCCACATTTTACATAGCAATGAGAATGTACTTCTACAGTCATATCATATACAATTGCAATAGATTGATCGCGGTATATGACATCACGCGCTGTCCCATACGTTTTTATCTTGAATCCCGATAGTTGATCAAAAAAATTACATTGCTCTGGGGAGAAAACGGTTTGCAACAATGAACAAGTTTGCTTAGTTCTTCAGAATGATGGAATGACATTTTTCACTCAATCGACTACCATAGAAGATTGTATGCAACGAGCGAGGAATTCATTTGAGAATTTCAGACCCGATTCAATACCGAAAAGCGGCACATCAAGAATTATTATAGTGAGATGTGAAAAATGTTTGGGAGTTGAATAGCGCCAATTCGAACATTTACTGACCAAATAATTTTTGTATACCTCTAAATATCATCAATTGTTCTCTTTTATTCGAATTGTTTCAAAATGTCTTCATCTACATTTTTGTATCGGCAGAGATAGGGATACCGAAGCAGATATATCACATGTTCTTGAGATAACCCTATTACATTCGCCATAAAAATAATGAATAGATTTAAGTAATCTTCATTCGAATAATTCAAACGAGCCGGAATGATTGACTACAATGACATTTTCGTGGCAGATGATTGTTTCCAACGCAACTGCGGGCGCCATGGCCAACTAAGAATAAGTAAACTCAAGAATACGAGATTTTCTGGAACTGAGAAATGTTAATTCGCCAATATTTTGAAAACTGTTGAGTGTAGGCATAGATAACCTAAAGTAAGCTTCATTTTCGAATAAAAATATAAAATTGAGGGTGTACATTTGAAAAAATTGACTTACAATAATTTTTTCAAACAGGATCTATATCATTTTCTGGTTAACGCCCTGTATAACTGTAATCGAATTGATATCGAAATTCTACTGAGCTGGGTCCTCTCTCACCAATAAGTCTATACATAATCGAGAATAAATGATCATGTCCACAAATAAAAAAAATATTTTTCGGTCTGCAAACGCAATTTTCAACTCAAAATTTGAAATATTTCGAAAACAGTTAGATTTGGGTATAGGCCATTATTCATGAAATATGTTCAGAGTCATGCGCAAAATCTAAAACCTTGATAATATACAGGGTGTCCCTTGTAAAATAACGAAGTTGGGGTCGTAGCGGAAGTGCCACAATATCTAAAATATTTTAGCCGGATAGCACTTATCAACGATAGGAAACCCGTAAATTTCCAAATTCGGCCCACCAATGGTTTCCTATTTATTGATCGATGCAGTTCCCGGAGGGACACCCTGTATATATATATATATGGTTCTAAAATATGATATGTACCTTTCAGATGTAAGGCTTCCATTTATGACCACGAGTCAAAGAAATGGCTTCCCAGACCATAGCCTGCTACTTTCATGCTTATAAAGCTAATAGAATTCAATCAAATCATGTTATGATATAAAATTGTGTTTCTCGAGAAATAGGAAAGATAATGGAGTGAATTCAATACAGGAGTGTTGATAAAAGGGAAGGCAAAAGTCTGCTTCCAATTTCAACTTGATAACGTACACGCTTCAAAGAGGTTCTAATGCGAATACAGTCTGCACACTAATGTTCAGAAGCAAATAACCTGTCATTCATAACAAAAAACGTCCAAATCAGGCAAGTAGTTTTGACGAACACTTTTCCCAAACTTTTGGCTACTTTTTAGCGGTGCGTTAATTTCTTAGAGAAGTGTATAAATACCTATTAGCAAACTACAGAAACATATGAAATGAAAAAGTCATGTCAATACATACCAATACTCAGTCCGCTGGGACGGCCGTCGATCAAAACCAACGTTTTCTACTTCCAAAACGCCAACAGCTGTTGGTGCGTTCTCTGAAGCGTCTATACAAAACGCCGTCGGGACGCTTTCTCCCGCCAAAGTCCCGAACGCGAATGGCACCAATGACGAATGACGAAATCGGACTCGACCGCTCTTGACGTCGGACAAGCTCGTTCGGATTCGTCGAAATTTATCTATCTTCCACTCCTGATACCTATCAGATTAGATTCTAGGGAGAGCACTATCCGAGGAGTTGAATTTAGCCGACTAACACGTATTTCTCTAAAAGCATAAAATTCATATAACATGGTATGGTATACAGGGGAATCAAAAATTTATATCGAGCTTTCTGGGGGTGATAGTATATTGAAAAATATGTATAGTTTGATGAATAAACTTATGCCTAGAATGCATATATTAAGAGAGATATAGCCTTCCAAAGTTGATTAAATTAACATAATTTGTCCGCATAACTTCTAAACGGTGAAAGCCTGCACCGCCTGCACCACCTGCACCATATCATAGATTAACGACTCCACCATATTAAAATTGCGTGCATAAATGTATGATTGTCTAACGAGTACGGAACGATAGTGATTTCCCTCGAGAATGAGCCGTGGGCGAATGATGCAATCATTCGAGTGGGATATTAGCATTCCGTGCGAGTTATACACTTTAATTTTTCTACGGCTGTAACAGATAACAGCGACATCTGTCATTGCTTGGAAAACATCCCATGGGCGATGATTTTTTTTTAATAATAACACAATGGAGTCACTGTGATATCAGAACTCATTGATTTATCGACACAGTAAAACAAGAGCAATTTTGTGTTTAACGAGCACGGAATGATAGTGACTTCCTACGAGAATGAAGTTTGCAGCATGAGCCATATAGGGGAATGCTGCAATCATTTGAGTAGGAAATCAGCATTCTGTGCAAGTTATACACTATAATTTTTTTCGGCTATAATAGATAACAGCGGCATTTTCGATTTCTTCGTATTGTAGCCATCTGATTTCCTGTCAAGTAATGCTCATCTAGTAGTCATTGCTTCACATTTGACATTCCATGAGCGAAGAGATTTTTTTGAAATAATAACACGATGGAGTCATTGTGATATCAGATACTGAAATGATATTGATGACATACAAATTACCTCATTGACGTATCGAACACAGTAAAACAAGAGCAATTTATTCGTGTTATAGCCGTAGAAAATAGTATATTGTTCAAGGAGCACGGAATGATAGTGATTTAGCATTCCGTGCAAATTATACACTATAATTTTTCTACAGCTGTAACAGATAACAGCGACATTCTTGATTTCCTCGTCTTGTAGCCATCTGAATTCCTCTCAAGTGATGCTCATCTATTAGACAGATCTTTCATTGCTTGAAATTTGATATAACATGGGCGATGAGATTTTTCCGAAATAATAACATAATTGAGTCATTGTGATATCAGATACGGAAATAAAATTGATGTCATACAAAGAACCTCATTGATATATCGAACACAGTAAAATAAGAGCAATTTTGTATTATAGTCGTAGAAGAATTATTCATTTTTATATTACATTTTTACATTTCCGATATTTTTATAAAAGGTGTTTTCTGAGGGTGAGTCATGATCTCTTTGGGACAGATTATTTCCTTGTATTCGTTTCAGTGAAAAAATAGAAGCATTCGACGGAACGAAAGGATTTGCATAATTACAGACATTGACAGCGCGGTTAGTGTCGTAAACACGAGAGTATAATGTTTTCGAAACATTCCCCAACCTCAAATGTCAGATTGGTCACATTGAGTCACGTGATACATTATGGACGCATGCGCATATTCACTCGTAAAAAAACTCAGAATTATTAACGAAACTCTCGGGGTCTCGAGAGGAAGAAGAAACATCCTTGAAAGCCTAAATCAGTAAACAAATGATCACATTGGACTGACGCCATGCTATTAGAAAACCAGAATGAAAATCCCTGGTCAAACACAGCCTCCATAATTTTATTGCGAAAAATAATCATCAGAAAACACGAATCTCATCATATCACTTGGTGGGAATGGTTCGAGAGATTTCGCAACTTTTTTATGCAGCACACCTATATAGTATACGAGGTGTTTTTGAAATGAGTAGGTACAGCACATCGATATTATACAGTCGAGGAAATATCCCGGAATATCAGATTTTTTCTAATTCTTCTAATCGGCGAGTGAACTGATAATGAATTATTGGCATTCAATTACTCCACTATGTGTCGTAACGATTTCAAATTGATTTTTGCAACACTTTTCGCAACTTTTTCATGAAAACAATGAGAAATTTCAGAGCTCATTTCAAACGAACCTTCATGGCCGCCGTTTGGCGATACGTCGAATAAAAGGTAACGTCAGTTTTAATGCTGTTTTTTTATTGGTCAGATAATCTTCCATCTCTCATGAGGCAAGGTTGTCAAGTCACCAATTATAATCAAAAGATTTTAGAGTCCTGTCATTGAATAAAACATAATATAGGAGGAACTCATGATATTATAGTTCATTTTTGTCTTTTCGAGCAACCAGCATTGCATTTTTATTGCTAATTAGGAATATTACCAATACTCAATTGGGAATTTATGAATTATCGAATAACTAATATCTCTGAAGCTCCCAATCGTATTTCAACGCATAGCAACTGTGCTTTGTTCTTTTCCTACTTACGAAATCGTGGTGTCAGTTCTCAGTGGCTGTAAATTTCTAGCCGTTTGAAAATTACCGTGGCATTATCGATGATTTAAGCACCTAAAAATTGACTAAAAAATTCTTTGAGGATATGGAAAATAAAACAAATAAGAGATCGATCGTGATTCTATGCCTTATGTACTGAAATTCGATCAGAGGTGACGTCAGAATTGCTACAGTGTAGAACTTTGGGTGGAAAAGGGGTCTCACACCAAATTTGATTTTGATCCCTACATAAGGTGTTTAGGTGTTACATAATCACGTTGAAATATTCAAGTGACGTATTCCTGAGAACAATTTAAGAAAAAAAGTCCCACGCGCCCTGTATCTCTGAAACAAACCATTCCTGGACACAAGTTTATATAGACTTTTTTTTCAAAATTTTCTCAGGAATACATCACTTGAATATTCGAACGTATTTATGTTACACCCTGTATATTTTTATTGGTGTCATTCGATATACCCGGTGGCCACGGAAGTATTGCCTACGGAATATCTCAGTTATTGTATGAAGTAGGTTTGTGAAATTTGGAGAGTCGATATAATGACATAAGAGCTAGAATTTGAGCATATTGACATGTCGAAGTTAACTTCCGGTCTGACCGGAAGTAACATCAACTTTCTTATTTCAAACGGAAACCCTATTTTTTTTTCTTTCCCCTTTATTCAGCATTCAATTCCCATTCTAATGACATATCACAAGTTGGTATCTGATCAGAAACTAGATCAGAAAAAAATTATTATTGAAATTCACCGAGTAGGCCGTCGAAACGAGATGAAAGCCAAAAATTGAAAAGTTGGCTATGGAAATCATACGTCACTTGATAACAGTTGCTACTACTGTGATATTTTATTTTCATTCGTCGGCGTTATAAAAAGCCGTCAAAAAAAATATTGGAAAAATTGGAAAAAAACAATACTCTGTAGGTCCATAACTTAAATAGGAACATACAACTTTTTCTTGCCTGTACTATTAAGCAATGATATAATAGAAAGTCATTTTTTGTCTTTCATTTTGCTTCCACGACCTACTCGGTGAATTTCAATAATAATTTTTTTCTGATCTAGTTTCTGATTAAATACCAACTTGTGATATGTCATTAGAAAGGGAATTGAATGTTGAATAAAGCGAAGAGAAAAAAAAAATAGGGTTTCCATTTAAAATAAGAAAGTTGCTGTTACTTCCGGTCAGACCGGAAGTTAACTTCGACATGTCAATATGCTCAAATTCTAGCTCTTATGTCATTATATCGACGCTCTAAATTTCACAGACCTACTTCATACAATAACTGAGATATTCCGTAGGCAATACTTCCGTAGCCACCCGGTATATTATGTCAAGCTTTCTCAGGATTTGGAATATTTTCAATTTTCTCAATGATCAGCATTCTAGAATAGGATATTTATTTTCAATCTTGTCCTGAAGATGATTACATATAGTCATATCGAAACACGTATCAAGGCGTCAAAAAATAGGTTTTTGGTAGGGGTGGAACAGTATAGTGAAATTTTTCCATCGGGATGTGTCCCAACGTTTAATATCTCGGTTGCCATGCCTGTCACGTTTCGATAGCACTTGTTTGGTTCATCTCCATTAACGACATAATTCATTTTTTTACGCGTGGATGCACTTCGTGTTATTGGCCAGAACTGTTTCAATATCAAGTTCACTGTGACATTCAATTATTTTCCAATCTGTAGGAAACAGGAATGTGGGAATCCGATGAACTGTAAGTTTTTTCCATCAAATCCACACTACGTGACAGTAACAGGTATTATTTAGGTTGTCGCATAAATACGGTACAAAATACGATAGGTACCTGCTCATTGAACCGTACAGTGACATTTCCATGGTGAAGAATATTACCCACCAGCATGAGATAATAGATCTGTCTGTATATCCCTAGCGATATTATAGAGGGTTTTGCTTGCGATCTTACAACCCTCGACTCTTTTCTATGGGGCTATGTTGAAACTCTTTTTTTTTTGTCGAGGTGGTTTAAATCCTTTATGGACACCATATGGGTCCTATCCCCCATATGGTAGTGTGGGACTCCCCTGACTCTAGCCAGGGTTTACCCACTAAAAACTCCACCCCGTTCGTAGGCTCGTCTTACCATGTCTCCGACGACACTTAGGCCTTTGGTGGCCCATTGTATCTTACCTAATGTTCTTTATTCTGCCCACTCCATTATCTCTGTACCTTGAACAAGTTTGTACGAATCCTTCACTGGATGTGAGTTGAATATTTCTGGTTCGCCAACTGGTTGCCAAAAGATCTTCTGTCTTCTGCGGTCCAATGTCTCACATCGGCACAGTATATGTGCTACTGTTTCTGGTTCCTTGCCATTGGCCATATAGTCTGCAGCTTGAGTCGCCATTGTAC